ACACGGCTCGGTGCGGTCTCTCCCTGGTCAGCCCTTGCCCAGGGGAACGGCTCGGCGTGGTCTCTCCCTGGTGAGCCCTTGCCCAGAGACACGGCTCAGCGCGGTCTCTCCCTGGTGAGCCCTTGCCCAGAGACACGGCTCGGTGCGGTCTCTCCCTGGTGAGCCCTTGCCCAGGGACACGGCTCAGCGAAGTCTCTCCCCGGTGAGCCCTTGCCCAGGGACACGGCTCAGCGAAGTCTCTCCCTGGTGAGCCCTTGCCCAGGAACACGGCTCAGTGCGGTCTGTCCCTGGTGAGCCCTTGCCCAGAGACACGGCTCAGCGCGGTCTCTCCCTGGTGAGCCCTCGCCCAGGGGCACGGCTCAGCGCGGTCTCTCCCTGGTGAGCCCTTGCCCAGGGAAACGGCTCAGCGCGGTCTCTCCCTGGTGAGCCCTTGCCCAGGGGCACGGCTCAGCGAAGTCTCTCCCTGGTGAGCCCTTGCCCAGAGACACAGCGCGGCGCGGTCTCTCCCTGGTGAGCCCTTGCCGAGGGACACGGCTCAGCGCGGTCTCTCCCTGGTGAGCCCTTGCCCAGGGGCACGGCTCAGCGAAGTCTCTCCCTGGTGAGCCCTTGCCCAGAGACACGGCTCAGTGCGGTCTCTCCCTGGTGAGCCCTTGCCCAGAGACACGGCTCAGTGCGGTCTCTCCCTGGTGAGCCCTTGCACAGGGACACGGCTCAGCGAAGTCTCTCCCTGGTGAGCCCTTGCCCAGAGACACGGCTCAGTGCGGTCTCTCCCTGGTGAGCCCTTGCCCAGAGACACGGCTCAGTGCGGTCTCTCCCTGGTGAGCCCTTGCCCAGAGACACGGCTCGGTGCGGTCTCTCCCTGGTGAGCCCTTGCCCAGGGGAACGGCTCGGCGTGGTCTCTCCCTGGTGAGCCCTTGCCCAGAGACACGGCTCAGCGCGGTCTCTCCCTGGTGAGCCCTTGCCCAGAGACACGGCTCGGTGCGGTCTCTCCCTGGTGAGCCCTTGCCCAGGGACACGGCTCAGCGAAGTCTCTCCCCGGTGAGCCCTTGCCCAGGGACACGGCTCAGCGAAGTCTCTCCCTGGTGAGCCCTTGCCCAGGAACACGGCTCAGTGCGGTCTGTCCCTGGTGAGCCCTTGCCCAGAGACACGGCTCAGCGCGGTCTCTCCCTGGTGAGCCCTCGCCCAGGGGCACGGCTCAGCGAAGTCTCTCCCTGGTGAGCCCTTGCCCAGGGGCATGCTCCCCACGCTGTGGTCCTGACCTTGGCATATCTGCTGCAAGACGGCAACCGCTGGGTAATGCCAGGCTGACGAGCATTTTATCATTTTGGAGAAAAATGTAAACTCGAGTGCGTGCGCGCGTGTGTGCGTGCATGGTGCGCGTCAGATAAATGCTGTCTTTGGAGCAGGAGCTCCTTAGCGGGAACATTCATAGCGTTGACCGCTCCCCTCGTCCACTCCAGATTCTTGCACCTCCTTAAAGAAGACAGAACCCAAAAAAAACAAATACTGCCACTGTTATCTTGTAGATAGCCACCTAGCCGTTGTGTCTCGGGGTGCCTGACACGACTTGAAATATCAGCAAGGAAAGGAGGAAACTCTACATTTTACGTACTACATTTATGCTCAAGCATTCCATTGTGACATGAGTGCATTGACTTTATCAAAACCTATGCAAGTGACAGTCACATCATTGCAGCTCTATAATGGCGCACTTGACTCTCTACTGGGGCACTTCTCTCACGAATGCAGCTCCAAGCTCATTCCAGACAGCCTGAGACACGCATCCTAGATACGTGTCTGCTAGATATGAGCTGCTTTCTTTGTTGGATCGCCTCCTTACCTCAGCTTTTTGCGGTGAACAAGGCCCCACAGTTTAGAAGGAGCACACTTTCCAATAACATCTGGTAACCCAGCAGCGTTTGCTTAACAAGCTTAACTCTGGCTGATGAGACCCAGGAGGTCGAAGCCGGTCCACGGTTTTCTTGCTTAAAGAAATGTGGCCGGTCAACATGAGTCTGGAAGGCCGATAGACTAAGACATATTTGTATTCATATGTGGAGACACAGAACAACAATAGTTTCTTGATTGCATTTACTGTTGAACCAAAACATCAGTGACCTCGTGCGTATTGTAGAATGGGTAGCTACTCAACTTATACCATTGCACAGCAGCTCTGCTTGTGTACGTGTCTGGAGCGATAGTGCTACGGTTAGCTACCTGCGCTACGAACCCAGTGACCCAAGTTCAATTCCCGCTCACGCCCGACGCCAGTGACGATTATCTTAATCGATCCTGGGCTTCCCCTAGGTCGACTCGGCCTCAAATGAGTACCTGGTGTGATGTGTAAACATTGCCACTGGGGAGACAAAGGCGGTTTGGTGTGGTGCTGGCCACCCACCCCCTTGTGTGCTGTGCCGGCCTTCATAGGCGCTCACGAACAGCACTTGCCCCAACAGTCTGTGAAAAGGCTATCTGGGGATCTTTGCATTTATTCTTTTAAACTAAACTTTTTTTTTATTTTACCAGGTAAGGTCCCGTTGAGCTATATAGCAATTTTTAGAAGCGAACTGGCCACAAGTGATATCTCAAGAAGTGGCTTATTATGTGGAATTTTATAGCAGCCAAATACTCAGAAGCATATTTCTAAATGCGGAGGGGAAAAAACAGAGGACCCGGAGAAAAATCCACGCGACCACGGTGAACGAGACACGCACACTCCAAATATACAGCAGGCGTCAGTTTCAGGAACGAACCCACGAGCTGCATACCAGGCGAGGTTGTGAACATCTCGCCACCGCGGTGCCAGAGGGACAGCTGTTGCAAAGAGAGCGATAGGGGAACACAATGCTCGCCCCCCGTCTCAGATGGAAATACATCCGTGCCCTCTCTACAGTGGCAGATCAAAAGTGGTTTTCTCTCCCTCCCTCCACCCCCCTCATATTTAAGCAACCCCTTTACAAATAATGGCGTGCTCCACAACTAATGGGCCGCACGTGTGCATGCGTGCTTGCCCCTCATGAAAGGGCTCCTGCATCAGATGCAGAACGCACGGGGAGTTTTGTGTTTGCACGTGCGCCCCCGCGTTATTCAGCTCCCCCACAGCCAAGGGTTTCCATAATAAGGGCATTAATAGGTTGCAGCCCTTTCTTTCCTCGAGCCACCGCTGGATGAAGGTCTCCCCCGTGCCGTGTGGGCCATGTTGGAGGCGGGGGGGGTGCAGGGCGGGGGGGGGGCAGAGGGTGTTTGACCGTACTTCACCATGCTGCAGGCCCTTGCGGCTTGGTGAAGTGAGGGTGCCCTGGAACTGTTTGGACATCGCTTGCCCGCCGATGTCGGCCGTGGCAAGGCCTCTGGGTCCACGTGCTCGGTGACGCTCCACCATCCCGGTGGGGACGTACGTATGCGCACGGTACGTCGGACTCCTTTCTCGCTCCGTACGTAGCCAACAGTGCTCACTGGAGGTGTGTGGGGCAAGGACGACACACTGAGCGCAAAAAGACGGTTCGGCGAGTGGTCCGTTCGAGTTGAGGCTTGAGAGGAGGGTATCTTGGCGCAGCGTTGGTCGTAAGCACGGCACCACCACTCCCCCCAGGAACTTCCAGGGTGTATGCAGGATATATCAACGCTATATTTGGCAAATGCTCTTTCATGTTTGATGCCCCGTTATACATGGAATAATATTGCATCTGTGTTAGATTTTAGAAACTATTTTGTTCCATTTAAATTCCTTGTTCGGTCAGTTTGAATCTTGTGTTTTGTCGGGATATGTTTATCAAATGCCTTCACGTCTGGCTGAATTGTTCCTACATTTTTGGGTATGTAACCATCGATTATAACTTTGACTTTAAAGTTGTTAAAATGCCTCTCAGTTATTTTTACTGACCTACTTTGTTTTTTTGTAATTTTCATTTTTTACAGTTTTGAGCCGCACTTTCGACTCTCACTTATAACGGGGTGTGGGGATGCCTTCATCCAGCAGTGCATTGCTTTTTGTATTTAGTTTGTTGTTCTTGCCCCGCACTTCCGATTAGCGCAGTTGGCTACGTACGGCGTGAAAGAAGTTCAACGTACATACATACAACACCCATAGAGACGTGTGTTATGAAGTCAGCTCTTTGACTTAACATGGACATTGTAACCTATTTTATCCGATGAAAAATAAACATTTAGACTAAATAGGATCCTACCGCGTTCTAAAGAGAGGACACTCTTACGACTATGGCTACTTTGTGCTTTATTACAGTCTTGTCTTTGCACGTCTGCCAATCTTATTAATTCCAGTGAAAGTTAAGTCGTTATGAATTGGCCACGACCGAGCGTTGGAAAACGTGCTCTCTGGTGGGCTGCAGCCACTCTGGTTTGGGATGCCCTGCCGCCTTGCTCCAGCTTCCAAGGAGCCGTGGGTGATTAATAAAGACACGGTCTAATGGCCAGGTGCTCGCGTGCCACCGGTACACATGCACCTGCTAATCATTCACATTTGCCGCCTCTGCCCGCAGCCCTGCTCCACACGCCTCCCTCTCTTGCTTGGACCCACACCCTCTTCCTACTCCCTACGCCCTACGCCTTCCTCCAACTTTCACCTCGTCCGTCTGTAACTTTGCCTCCATTATCCTCCTCCCTCTTGCTCCCATCGTTTCTGCTTCATTCTCACCCTCGTTCTCTCCCCTCTGTCTCTTTCTGCTTTTCATCTCATCGTCTGTACCGCTTCTTCTGCCATTCTCCCTCTCACTTCTCCAACCTCATCCTCCTGCATCCTCCTCCTTCATCCTGCTCCTGGACCTTTTCTCTTCTCTTCATTGGCCTCTTAACTCTGTCTCTATTTTCACCCTCATCACCCACCTCCCTCCTGTTCTTCCTCCTCCTCCTCCTTATCATCACGATATTTTCTCCCGTTCCTCTATCTCGTCCACCCACTCATCATGATTCCACCTCCACCCTCCTCCCCTCCGCCAATAATTCTCGTCCTCCACCTGGTCGTCCTCGCCCTCCCCGCGCAGGTGATCGGGGGCGAGCTGTGCGCCGCCTGCTGCCTGGGCCACCGTTGCCCACCCGTGCTGAAGAGGGGCGGCTCGCTGACCGGCGCTCTCTACCGCACGCTGGGCGCCTTCCTCTTCGGCTGCGCCGTCAACCAGTCGCTCACGGACGTCGCCAAGTTCTCGGTGGGCCGGCTGCGGCCGCACTTCCTGGACGTGTGCAAGCCCGATCGCGCCCTCTACAACTGCTCCGAGGGCTACATCACGAGGGTCGTGTGCACGGGGGACCCGGCCGTCATCACCGAGGCCAGGTACGGCCATCGAACGTTCAGCAAAAAGTCAAACAGATCGTGCGGAACGCGAAGCTTCCGGGTCGCTCGGAGGTCAGAGCACCGAGCTGGCGCTGCCGAGAGGCTGGGTGCAAATCCGAGTTTCAACCGCCGCCGCCACCGACAATTAAACGAGTTCTTAGAAGTGTTCACGATGATGGCGATATCGGCACATTTTCTCCAAAAATGCAATGCAAGAGGTGGCTGGGTGGATTCAAAGGTTAGAACGCTGTTTTCCACTGCCACTGAAGGCCTGGGTTTGAAGCCGAGTATCAGCCGCTGGAGGTTAATTGCCGGTTTCTCCAGTGTAGGGAGTTCATGGTCTCAGTCTGGTCACCCGATGACTGCACACACACAAAAAAACTTAATTTATTATTTTGTTCTGCACTTAAATTTGGCTACATAAGTCTAGGTCTGAGAAATACAAATATTGGTTTTATGGTCACATGGCACGCAGAGTCATCACAGATTGTAAGGGAAAGTGCATTCTCTGATCCATGGGACACACTGTTTTGCAACATTGCCTAATGGCTTCCACGTCTCATGACAGCGCAATTGGAATCCTTTGGGGGGGGGGGGGGGGATACCAATTAGCGTTGAAATAAAACTTACCAAATGGTGATTTCTATTATTTAATGTTTATTGGTTAAAGGGACGAGACTGTCAAACTTTCACAATTTCAGCTCCGTTTAATCTCAGGAGGATGCCTGGATTCAACCCAGGATCTCAGAGCTTCTGGCTTCATGCTCTGACACGGCCATCGTGAGCCAAATCACAGTCACCGAACCATCTGAACTGTAGAGGCTCTCTGATATTAAACTGCGTGTAACACTCATAGAGACGTGTGTTTCGAAGCCAGCTCCTCGACTTAATATGTACATTTTCTGCTGTACCATCTGCTTACAATTAAATGTGTTTAAAAATGGTTATTAATGAATAAAGTTAGGGCATGCATACCGCGCTAATGATGTAATCTATTGTTTTTGGTTACAGGAAATCGTTCTTCTCTGGTCATGCCTCCTTCGCAATGTACTCCATGGTGTTCCTTGCTGTGAGTACCACACACGTGCACGGGCACGCACGCACAACAACAACAACAACAACCGCCATTCGCCACTAAGTGGCGGTGACGTCACCACGATGCTTGTGCCAGGCCACGCACACACAGGCATGCACACGCATGCACGCACACACACGCACAGGCACATAAAGATATCACGCTTAGCTTTCAACAGACAAGTGCTGTTAGCGGGCACCTATGAAGGCTGGCACGGCACACGAGGAGGTGGGTGACCAGCACCACGCCCGGCCGCCTTTGTCTCCCGACCGGTTCGGATAACCGTCGCTGGTATTGGCCGTGAGCGGGTAATCTAACTCGGGTGGCCAGGTAGGTGAAGCAGTGAGCTAACCACTTCTCCACCACACACAAGCGTCCACGTAGGCACACTCGCAAAGTGTTACACGCACAGATTGAGACGCATGGATGTGCACACAGATAGAAACACAGACTCCCACAGGGCAGCCAAGGCATACAAAAGCGCTCCCCTTTCACGTCCTATCATAAACTTGTGCAGAACATATAATTTATACTTTCGGAAAGCACTTCGCTTTGTGGGTAGCCAGGTTCCACTGCTCACAGAGTCGACGCATTTACGACACCTGTACGAAGAACGGCAGTAATTTCCCTCGGTTAATTGCGATCTTTTAAATGCAGTAGACGTGTTGCCCTAACAGTATTTCATGTGGCGCCAATAGAGGCTAAGCTACACCGCATAGTAAACAACCAAAAATATAAAAAGCACACGATCTGACATTTTTAGTTTTTTTTTACGAACGCACATCTTTAGAGGGTTTCCTCATTTACTCAACCACAGCTCCATGAAACAGCACACCGTTCACTGCCTAACGTGGCCATCTATCACATGCGCCTTCGAGCTCCCAGGTGTGGCTATCGGAGGGTGATCGAAGAGCGGCCCACTCCAGAAATGCGTTCGGTCACTTTCGGAGACCGCCACGCTTGCCGCTGGGGAGTTTGAAAAAAAAAAACCCGTCATGGATCGCCGAGCTAAGCGGTAAATGGATCTGCCGTGCCGGTTAGGGTTCGGAGGGACGCTGGGGGGGGGGGGGGGGCAAGGTGATCTGGTATAAGAGCGCTTGATACCGGGTTGTTTCGAAAACAAAAAAGTGCGGACTTATTGCAGTATTTTTTTAAGCTCGTGACGGGAGCAGTTAAATTGCTTGGAAATATAACTTCCCATTTTTAAACTGTATTAATGTTGCCCTGGCAGAGGAAATGTCCCCCCCCCCATACCCACCCCCTTGAAGGTTTGCATTTGGGGGGGGGGGGGGGAAGCACAGCTGGTATTTTTTGCTGGGTAACTTTTATGATTGCTCTGAAAATTTATGAAACTAAACTGTCTCGCAGAAAACCAGGTTCGTAGATCTTGTTTAAAACTATTATACGTCATCCCCCCCCCCCCCCCAACCATAAAAATAGCAAATGGTATATGTTCAGGATATGGTGAATAATAATGTTCATTTTCAGCAGTAGAGATTTTTTATTTTAAACATGCCACAATTGTCATGTATGCTGCCCTATAATAGAATCGTCAATAATAGTCTCGCGGTTTGGGCCGCGGCACATTATTCTCCAGAGCAGAGGGCTTTAGAAGCTGTTCACCCTGCAACCGTTATGAAGAAATATGATGTTTTTCAGCCACAATCTACGCAACGTGGAGTCGTGCAGATGTTAGTGTGTGAGAATATAAACTCTCGTTACCCAGGCTTTCACAAACTTTTCGTTAATTTTAAAAACACTTTTACAAAAAGTCGGGGAAATCGATAGCTCGGCAGTAGAGCTAACGGCCCACAATCGGAAGGTGTTAAGTTCAAATCCTCGTTGGGGAATGACCCAGCCCATCATGCTTTCAGGGTAGATACAATTAATCTCATTTTGTGAGGAAATGAACAGCTGATGGACTTGCCCCCACCATAGGAATATGAAATGTCCACCACTGGACTCAGGGCTGTAAACAGGAGATGAGCACCGCGTCAGTGCTCATTTGAGCGGAGATTCACTCTTCGACTCTTAAATCGGTGTCAATACTTAATGGTGCGCGTGGTTCTGCTCCAACATTGGCCAAAGAGGGCATAACAGGATTGAGTCATTTTCCCTTAAACGGATGGCCCTTGAGGTGGGTCCTGCTGTGTGGGAATCACATGAGCAAGAAACCTGCTCCCTCGGGAGCAATTGGAAGAGTCTGGTTGCCCACCCCCCGCCCCCACCCTCGCCTAGCCTCCCCCGGCTCCCATAAAGCTGAGCCCCACCACAGCAGCTCATTGCCACGTTCCACAATCTCCCCTCGACCCTTGACCCACGACCTCGTGGGGTCAAGGCAGGAGGCGGCTCGTGTGTCTTCCTTGGTGGGCGAGTTGAGCGGCTTAGGGGGGTGACTGTTCATGTCGGGCGATCGTTACAGCTTCATATGACAAGCTCGGCACCAGCAGTACGTTGCCATCACTGCGATGCTCGTGTTTGACTTTTATTGTCATCATAATCACCATCGTCATCATTGCGATCATAATTTAAATTTTCATTCGTAATTATCAACATTGTAATCATCATTCATCATCCATCCTGATCATCATGAATGAATATTCATCATTCATCGCTAGTGCCGTCGTTAAGAGGCATATCGATACATTTTTAGGAAGAGGGTTTAATTAAACGTTTGACTCGTCAGTTGCTTCACAACTCGCCGGAGTTGCTTGCAATATGACCCAAGGGTCAAGTAAGCCACCTGACCAGCTTCATCATCAATGTTATCACCATCCTCAAAATGCACCTGTGTCCTCCAGCAAAAGGAAAGAGCATCTGCCCAGATCAACAAAACGAGACATTTGTAACGGTTCCTTTGTTTACATGCCAGGCATCCTTGCCGATTTTCTGACGCGCTGCTTCCTGACTCGGGAGAGGATAAGGGATGTGCCCCCTACGATACCAGCAGTGGTTGAAGTGCAGATTCAGGCCATTTGTCATTATGCCCAGACCTGGAACAACGTGCGGATGGTGTGCCAGGTCAGGTCACGGTGGGACATTGTGTGAGAGAGAGAGAGAGAGCGGAGGGAGGGGTGGGTGGGTGGGTGGGGTTGAGGAGTGTTAGGTCTAGATGATTGAGGATATGTGGCAGAGCTTGTGGTGAGTGGGGGGAACTGGACAAGAGTTTACCCGCAATAACCTCTGATCGAGTCTCTCTCTCTCTCTCTCTTACGGGCGGTAACATTACACAGCAGCCACAACCGTGCACGCTTCAGCAAAACTAAATAAAAAAAACCCAGAAAGAGCCGGCTTCATTTCACGCATGTTAATCAAATTTGTTGTGAATTTTCCTGACACCCCGCTTTGTAGTCGGTTTGATGTAATGCGTCCAAATTGCAGCGTTTTGGGCCCCCGTCGGGTTTCATTTGCGTCAACGAAGCAAAAGATAAAGAGAGGTTAAGCCAGCTGTGCGGCGGCCACGCAAATAAACTCCGTACGTTGCCTTGTTGATGAAAAGAAAATCTGCACTGCCGGTGTCCGACCTTCTTATCTCACTTCCAATTTTCGTTGAATTTATCTTGATTCTTTTCTTCTCTCACACCGCTTGCAAAATCAGCACCCCCCCCATCTACCCCCCGGTGACCACTTTGCCACGGCCACTATCTTGGGCAGGCAGCCTCCCCCCGCGCTGCAGCGGCGGCTGCGACGGCAGAATGGCGCAGAATAAAATAAAATAATTCCAGGCCGCCGTGCCGTTATCAGCCGGCACGAAGGCGAGGCACAAATGACGGCTCCGGAAGTGAGCAACACCCAAATCCCTGTGAACCCCTTCCCCCCCCCCCCCCCCAGAAGCAGCAGTAGCAATGAGTTTTGGCTGTTGCCAAGTGCCACTGATGTCGAGTGGATTTGCTTTGCTCCTCAAATTACCAAGTCTCCAAGTCCGCTGATCGTGGCTGTGTCGATTCTCGACGGGCTGTATTTGTTAAAACGCTGCTGGCTGCTTTTCTGTCTGCCCCGTCTTGTCGCTGACCACTCCGAATGATTGCTGGAGTTGGTTCACTTTCCATCAATTGTGATGAATGGTGAGTGTCCGGTGAGTGTTGGTTCTATTCAGTGTGAGGACCTGGGAAATGTTCGGTAAATGTAAGGTGAGTGGTGAGTTTCTGGTGAATGTGAGCAGTGAGTGTGAGTTGTAAGTGTTTGGTGTTAGATGAGCATTCTGTGCACGGTGAGTGAGGGGTTGTTAGTGTCCCAAGTGTTGAGTGTCAAGTGAGTGACTGGTGGTGAGTATCAGGGGAGTGTTCGGTGATTGAGTATCTGAAGGGCGTCAGGTGAGTGTCTGGTGAGAGTGAATATATAAGACAGTACCAACTTGGTGACACGATCAACGCTCGTCCGCAAACGATCTGGCTCAGCGACCAGCGGTGCCGAATACTTGACTGGCCATCCACGCTAACGGGGCCATGTGCGTGACATAAAGCCGGCTTTATTTGTGAGTTTCGCTCGCCGCTCTTGCAAAGGTCAGTAATTTCCAGGAGCGAGACGGCGATTTCTTCATCGCTAGCTCCTTGCGTGCGCTTGCCACCGCTGCTCCTTGAGGAATCCCTCTGCTTGCCAAGGCATTTAGAAGCGGGGACAGCGGGGGGGAGGGGGAGGGAGCGAGGGAGGGAGGGCTTGAAGGATCCAAAAAGGCTAAATGGCAGCGGCACTGGCAAAATAAAAAAAACTAAAGGCGAAAGTTTATTTGCGAAGGGCAGTCAAACGGTTTGCAAGTCCCGCCTGAGGGTAGTGTCTGTGCCTGTAATTTACTGGGAATGACATTAGTAATGTTCTTTATGTATGTATGTATGTTGAACTTCTTTCGCAACTTGCATTGCCAACTGTGCTCATCGGAGGTGCAGGGGAAGGACAACAAACTAAAAACAAAAAAGCAGCTCTCAGGAAATGAGTTGTAAATCTAGATGATTTAAAAGTGCACAGCTCCAGTGGCTTCCTAATATCGGAAGGAAGAA